TTTGCATCATAGGACTAACATTAACTGATCAGCAACTTGTTCATATACGTGGAGAGCAAACTGCTGTTGGGTGTTGGCAAAAACTGAGGAGGATTTATGTCCGAGATAACGTTGGTGCTCACATAAATCTAACACGGAAGCTTTTCCGCACGTATCTCCAAAAGAATGGTGATATGCTGAGTCATTTGAATACTATGAAAAGCATTTTCCAAGAACTTCATGAGAAGGAGTTAATTTTCTCTGAACTACACCAGGTCTACATAATTCTATCTTCATTAGACGAAAGTTTTGATGACTACGTAACTTCCCTTGAAATATTGCCTAAAGAAAGCCTAACTTTAACTGATATCACTGGCAGATTGATTGAAGAGGCCAGAAGAAGGCTTGAAAGAAATCAGTTAAGGGGGGAGCAACCTCAAAAGGAAAATAATAAATCTCCTACTGCATTCGCAATTAAAAAGTGTTTTAATTGTGGAGGGAGAGGACATTTTGCAAGATTTTGTAAGAAACCAAAGCACAAGAATGCAAGCCAGAATGCTGGAAGCCATCAAAGAAGAAATAAGAATTATGAGTTAGCAATGTATAGTAATGGAGTTGTAAAAAATAATTTATGGGTGGTTGACAGTGGTGCGTCCCACTGTATTACAAATGATAACAAAAAATTTGTAAAAATGTCCATGAGTTCACAGCATATCTCATTGGCAAACGGCTGGAAAATTAAAGCAAAAGGTGAAGGTATAGCTCATTGTTCTAGTATAAATGAGAACATAAAAATGTTATATGTACCTCAACTTAAATTTAATTTGCTTTCAGTTAGAATGTTGGTTAGATTAGGATACATAGTTACCTTTAGGGGAGATACTTGTTTAATTGAAAAAGAAGGTAAGAAAATTACTGCATCTTTAAGAGGTGACTTATATGTGTTAAATGATAATGGTTTAAAGGTGGCTAACACAGTTTATGATAATAAGAAACCTCATGATGAATGTATTCACTTGTTACACCGACGGTTAGGTCATTTAAATTTTAAAATGATTAAGAGAACTGTTCAACTATCTAAAGGAATAAGTTTGAAACCTTGTAATAAGTATTTGCAATGTTCTGCTTGTAATCAAAACAAAAGCAAAGTTATACCGGCAAATAGAGTTGATGGATTTACTACCAAAGAGCCTTTAGAGGTAGTATTTGCCGATATAATAGGTCCTAAAAAGCCAAGTGTAGGTGGTGCTAGATACATATTAAGCATAATGGACCACTATTCTAGGTATGGTTTCTGTTTTCTAATGAAGAGAAAAACTGAAACGTATACAAATTTCTTTAATTGGTTAAAATTTGCAGAGAGAAAAACTAAAAGGAAATTAGTAACTCTTATAACAGATAATGGTGCGGAATTTACAAATAATAAATTCCAGAATAGACTTAGAATGGCAGGTATTCAACATAAAAAGTCTGCACCATATAGGCCTCAACATAATGCATTTACAGAGAGACGAGGCCAAACACTGCAATCAATGGGAAGGACAATGTTATCTGATTCTGGATTACCTGACAATTTGTGGGGAGAAGCTATAATGTGTGGGAATCACATATTAAACAATGTTGTTAATTCAACAACAGGTGAATTACCATTCACCCTGTGGCATGGTAGAAAACCTGATTTGAGTTATATTCACACATTTGGTGCACCAGCATGGGTGCATATCCCTACACAACTCAGGCACAAAGGACAACATAGAGCTAAAAGATTAATTTTTGTTGGATATCAAGCAAACCATAGATCTTATAGATTCTGGGAACCAGGTACATCTAGAGTATACTGCAGTGCTAGTGCACAATTCCTAGAACATATAGGAATAGATTAGAGCAAGATTCAGATAATGTTATTATAGAACCCTACAAGAGGCAGAAAGAAAAGACTAGTTATAAGAAAAATCCAATTAAAGAAGAAGTCCATGAAGAGCAAATAGAATCAGATCAAGAGGAGATAATTGATCAAGAAGAGATAGATAGTCAAGAACAGGAAATAAAGGAAAATCCACCTGTAAGTCCTGTTATACCTAGACGCACAACGCGTATAACCAAACCACCTGAAAGATATCAGGCAAGTATAGTTTGCCAAGTAAATAAAGTTCCTACTAGCATAGATGAACTTAAGATGTATCCTGCTATGGATCAGGAGAATTGGCAAAAGGCAATGGAAAAAGAGTTAAATTCTTTAAAGGAAATGAAGGTTTATGAAGAAACCAAATTACCTCCAGGAGAAAAATCCATTGGGTGCAAATGGATATTTAAAGTAAAGACTGGAAATAATGGGAAAGTAACTTATAAGGCTAGGTTAGTAGCACAAGGATTTAACCAAAATACATATGATTATGATGAGGTATTTGCACCAAATCTTAAGGCTACAACTTTAAGAGCAGCTTTAGTATGGGCAGCTAAGAATAATTATATAGTTAACCATTTAGACGTAGATACTGCTATCTACATGCACCATTGCAGCATACAATATATTTGAATAAACCAGTTGGTATAAATGATAATAAAGTAAATAGCAATGATTGCTGGAAACTCAAGAAGAGTTTATATGGATTGAAACAATCTGGCTATGAATGGAACCAATATATTGTGAAAGAATTAAACAATATAGGGTTTAAATCTGGTTTAGCAGATCCATGTATGTTTAGAAGAGAAACTAATGGAAGGGTGTCATTATTGTTATTATTTACAGATGATATTGCTTTGATTACTAAGACCAATAATGAAGCTACTGAGATTATTTCATTATTAGCCAAAAGGATACAATTAAAGCATTTAGGTGAAATTAAAAAGTATCTAGGATTGACAATTAATAAAACCACAAAAGGATTTAAGATATCTCAAGAGGATAAAATTTGCCAATTAATTAAATTGTATAAAATGGAACTTTGTAAGCCTGCAAAGACTCCAATGAGTCAGGAAATTTGCAAAATTGATGCTCAAAGTCCCAAATTTGATAAGACCATATATCAATCTTTGATTGGTAGCTTATCATATATAAGCAATTGGTCAAGGCCAGATATAGCTTATAGTATTAATCAGCTGGCACGATATAATAATGATCCACATCAATGTCATTGGCAAGCATTAAAGAGAATTTTAAGATATCTTAAAGGAACAATGCACCATGCATTGTATCTAGAGCCAAAAGGTGATTTGAATCTTAGTGCCTATGCAGATGCAAGTTTTGCAACTGACATAAATACTAGAAAATCAACATCTGGGATGGCTATATTATTTGGTAAGACACTAATAGGGTGGAGGTCAATCAGACAACAGCATATTAGCTTGTCAACGATGGAAGCAGAATTTTCATGTCTGTCATTACTATGCACTGACTTAATTCTGTACAAACAGTTATTATTAGACATGGGTATAACTGTTAAAGATTCTATTATTGTGTACGAAGACAACCAGGCAGCTATACAATTAGCTACTAATATTGCTGTAAAGACTAGATCAAAGCATACTGATTTAAGATACTTAAACGTAAGAGAATCTGTTAAAAATGGTCTAATTAAACTAGAGTACTGCATGACGGAAGAAAATATTGCAGACCAGTTTACAAAAGCTCAAGGTGTTGTAAAATTTAAAGAGAGTTGTGACAATTATGATTTAAAGGTGTAAATGGTTATATTATTGTAATATTATTATTATTACCCAAAAGGTGAGAATGTTAGGGATAACATTGTTTACCCTAACTGGTTTGGGTAAAAATAATAAATATGGTATCATGGTTTGTTAGTTAAAGTGTGTGTAACTTTAACAGCAAGAATGTAATTAAGGGTGTGGTTGTAAAAGCACTATATAAGAAGCGAGGCCATTTCAGCTCTCTCTCTCTGGCCTACTGATCCTTAATTACTGAATGGATTCATGACTGCGTTCTTGTAGGAGTGTTGATTTTTCTCAACGGAGAGAAGATAAGATTGGACTGATTTATTGTAAGTGTACTGACATTGGCTATTCAACACGGACTTTGCAAATAGAGTATCCCTGACAAGACTTGACTGAAATTGATATATGACTAATGGACCGTTTATTTGACTATGCTATAATTCTTAAATGGAATAAACAATATTTTTGATAGCACAAGCGTATCTGTATTTTTTACTGCGTGTTAACTAGAAAACTTATCTCACACATTTACCTGTCTTCCTATCTGACTTCGCTGCACGTTCTGTTTAGTTTGTTTTCCTTAACACCTGTTGGGGAATCCAGGCTTAACAAACTCCCTCCAAAATTTGGCTGTGAATTGGATCCCTCTGTCTGAGATAATTCTCCATGGTACTCCATGCAGGCAGTAGATGTGCTTCAGGAGCAGTTGGCCAACTGGTGGGCTGAGAGTAGTCTGCTGCAAGGTATGAAATGTGCCTGTTTGGAAACTAAGTCTATTACCGTGTTTTCCCCCCCCCCCCCACTTTTTGGCAGCTCCACTATGAAGTCCATTGCAATCTCCTCCCATGGTCTCATTGGCTTCACTACCATTTGTAGCAGCCCAGGGGGTTTTCCTGGTCGTTTTTTCATTGCAGTGCAGATGGTGCAGCTTTTCACATAACTGTCTACATCTTTCTTTATGCCAGGCCACCAGAACTGCCTCTGAGCCAAGTGTAAAGTCATTAAGAACCCAAAGTGGCCTGCCAGTTTGGCATTGTGGCTTCTCTGAAGAACTAGTAGGGATTCTGGGATGTAGAGTTTTGTCCCCTTCCATGCCAGGTTATCTCTTTTTGTCAAGGTGTGTTGATTGTCATGCCTTTCAGACTACAGGGCTTCCAGCTTTTTATGGTTGGTCCAGACTTCGAATGGTCTCTGCCCCCCTTCCAGCAGGTAGTGCCAGGTTTTCAGTGCCCATCTCACTGCGAAAGCCTCTTTTTTCCCATGCAGCCCATCATCTCTCTGTGACTGTGAGATTGTGGGAGGTGTTGGCGCAGGGCTGTAGGCTTCCTTAGTTGTTTCTTTGGAGTTACACTGCTCCTACTGCCATGTCACTGGCATCTGCTTGAATGATGAAGGGATGTTCGGGGTCAGGATGCTTTAGTACTGGTTCTTTTGCAAACAGTTCTTTCAGTGTTTCAAATACTTTTTGGCAGGTTAGGTCCCACTGTAAGGGTTGTCCCAGGTGAGGTTTCATTCCTGGACTCCCTGTCTTTAGGAGGTCTGTCATGGGTTTGGCAATCCTCGGGAAGGAGGGGATGAATCGTCAGTAGAAGTTTGCGAACCCCAAAAAGCTTTGTACTTGTCTGCAGGTATGAGAGGACTGCCAGCCCAGAACGGCTTGTACTTTGGCTGGGTCCATCTCTATTCCCTCATTGGAGACTTGGTAGCCCAGGTAGTCCAACTGTGCACAGTGAAACTTGCATTTTGACAGCTTGACATACAGATTTGCTGCTAGAAGTTTTTCTAGTATCTGGTGGACTAGGGGTATGTGGTCGTCCATCGTTTCAGTGTAGATGAGAATGCTGTCCAAGTAGACAAGAACCCCCTTATAAAGATGTTTGTGTAGCACCTCATTTATTAACTGCATGAACACTGCTGGGGCCCCCTGTAGTCTGAAAGGCATGACCTTGAATTGGAAGCTCCCTAGGGATAGTTGAACTCTGTTTTCCATTCATCTCCCTCCCTGGTGCAGACTCGATAGTATGCTTCTCTGAGATCTAATTTGGTAAAGACCTTCCCTTTGGCCAGGTGGGATAGCATGTCTTTCATGAGTGGGAGGGGGTATAGATTGTGTATGCACAGTCCATTGATCGCTATTAAGTCCATGCATTATCTCATAGTTTTATCTTTTTTTTTCTTTGAACAGGATTGGGGCTGCAACCCGTGGTTTGGCTGGCTCGATGAACCCTCTTGCTAAGTTTTTGTCTATATATTTGCACATTTCTTGCATTTCCCAGGGTGTCATGGGTGTCATTTTGGGTTTTGGTAGTTTTGCCCCAGGAATTATTTTTTTGGTGCAGTCTATCTCATGGTGGGGAGGTAGGATGTCACACTCAGCCTCACTGAATACTTCTACGAGGTCTTGATATTCTCTTGGGATCTGTCCGACCTCTGGGGTTTTGTTGGAGGTGGCTGCCAGTTGTTCTGGTGAACCTTCTGGAAGGGTTCTCTGTGTGGGCGGTGCTTCTATTTGATGGTGAGGAAGGGGTTGGGGTCCCTTCACTATCCTTAGTCTGCAGCTACCTCCTTGCCACCAGATGGTCGGGCCCCACTTGTCTAGCCAGAAAAGCCCCAGTATGACTGCATCTGTCATTTTGGGAGCCTCTACGAATCAAATGGTTTCCCAGTGATCTATCTCACTAGCTCTAGTCTCACTGGTTTGGTTAAGTGAGTGGCGTAGGCTCTTCCCAACAGGGAGACAACTACTTGTTCGAACTGGATTGAGTGGGCCAGCTTTTTCACTCTGATCCCCAGTTTTAGGACCGTGGTTAGGTTGATCAGGCACCTAGTGCAGCCTAAATCTATTAGGGCTTGGAAAGACCCCTGAATTCCTGTTTTTGGTGCTATGAGCTGTATTGGGAAGATGAAAGGGGGAACTGGTCCACTCACCATCAGGTCATTTTCACCCTCGTTGTCACTGTCATAAGAATCTGGCAACTGATCACTGTTGTCTGGGGTTTCCCCTCCTTCGGCTGGGTGGGGAGGGACCTCTGCCACCTGAAGGGACATCTGGGATATGTTGGTAGCACATCTGGAGCCCCATTCTGGTCATGCTTTGGGGGTTGGTTCCAGACTTGGTTTCAGTTCTGGGGTTGCCATATGCCCTACTGCCCCACATCAGTAACATTTAAATGGATTTTGTGAGAGGGGTGATTTCAGGGCTGGTCATGGTGCTGCAGTATCCCATTGGCTGGGTGGACTCTGATCTGGCTGCCCTCTCTCTTTGGCTCCCAATGGCTTTCTCATATCATTAACATGTAATGCCCCATCAACTTTTATGTCCACTTGGAACCACTCAGAGAGTTGGTTTGGGATGTCCCAATAGGCAGTTACTTTGCTAATTTGCTTGTCCAGGCTGGTTCTGAAAAAATGAACCAGCATCCACTCAGGCAAAAAGGGTATCTTCCCACTGATTCTCCTGAATTCATGGATGTGTTCCTTGATGGGCTGTCTTCCCTACTTTAGGCTGCTGAGCTCATCTTCCATGAACAGGTCCTTCTCTGACTCTTAAAATCTGACCTCTATGTCATGTAGTTTGGGGCCCCTTCTCTTGTGGAGGGTTGCTAGCCATCCTCTTGCTTCTTCCTATAGCCCCTCAGAAATGGCATTCACCATGGCTCTAGGGAAAGGATAGAGATGTCCATAGCGTTCCAGGTAGATCTCAGCTGAGTCAAGGAATAAAGCTAGCTGGTCTGGGTCTCCGTCAAATTTCCTCCTGAACTGGGGTGGTTCATTGGGCTCTACTCCTTCCTCTCCCCATTGCCCTATGTAAGCCTGCACTTGAGGTGGCTGACCTTCCTCCCCAGCTCTAGTTCGCACAGGAGAAAGGGACTGCCTGCTCTCACTGTGGGCTCTTTTTCCTTCTGATATGTAGAGAGGAAGGGCTGTGGTCTTGCCTGCTTCTCCCCACTTCAAAAGGCCCTGTAAAAATTCCCCTGTTTTGGGTGGCCGTCATCTTGAATGGTGGCCTGTTCAGATCCCTCCCTCAGTTGCTCTATGGATCTCCCCAGGGATTCCATCAGGTACCATACCCGTGTCTGCAGCAAAGGTGCTTGGTGGAGGTAGGGAGCTGTCCGTGCTCCACCATGATTGGCTATTAGGAGCAGCCTGGTGGCAAGGTGAGTCTGCCCATGGGCTGCTCTTAATGCCCTTCACCCTTCTCCCCCACCCTTCCCCATTTTGCATGCTTTAAACAGGCCCAAGTTTTGGGGGCAGGACTTAATTTCACCTCATGCCTATAAAACATGCTGGGCCTTCCTATTGAGGGGGGGGGCTATTGTTGGAGAAACATGGTAGTTAGAAATCCTGAATATAGCATTTAAACCATTTATCTTTAAATTTGAACAGAGTAGACTAAACAATTTGGTATGTGGTCTTAAGGCCCATATTTCTCGAACATGTAAAGAAAACCATGCAGGCAGATCAACTATGGACAAGATAGTTGGAATAGTCTTCCAAACCAAAAGTCCCAATGGCTATTTCAATCCATCAATCAGAATAGAGCTGGAAGGGACTTTGGGGGTCTTCTAGTCCCACCCTCTGCTCAAGCAGGAGACCCTATATCATATCTGTAATTGCATCCTGTATAGTACATGCTTAATTGCATATATGACTTTGAGCTTTTTTCCAGATCTATGAGGCTCTATAGCATTGTTCCTTAAAATATAAGATTGAAAATATATGTCCCATCTATTTCCCATCCATGTTCTACCTAAGGACTGCAAAGTAGACAATAGGAAAACTTGATTCTTCATTGTGCAGATGGCCGAGTATGCTTTCAGAATCTTACCAGTAAATGCATTATATTGAATGTCCTAGTATCTACCGTGTTTCTCATATAATAAGGCCGGGTCTTATTTTTTTTTGAGCCCCGAAAAAATGGCTAGGCTGTCTTTTCGGGGGTGACTTAATTCCCCCCCCTTGCATCTTTGGGTGGGCGGGCAGCGACGGCTTGGATGTTGACCTCGGTGTTGGTGAGGCACTTAGTATCGGGGTCAACGCAGGCAGCACCATATCCAGGTGTGCAACAAAAGTACTTCCTAACGGCAACCCCCCCCCACCATTCCCCCCCATTTCGCATGTTTTAATATAGGCCTTAATTTGGGGGGAGGGGCTTAATTTCATTTCATGCCTATAAAACATGCTGGGACTTCCTATTGGGGGAGGCCGTATTGTTGGAGAAACAGGGTATAATCTGTGAGTTTGCCTGACCAATGGAACAGCATTTCTCCAGAAATCTCTGTGGGTCTGGCCCTGTTGTATTTTTACATATATTTAAAGATTCAATAGCTTTTTCAATAGGTTCTAGAATTGGGTGGGTGACTATGATCTATTCCATATTAGCCTGGAGTTATTTCTTGCTTAAGGTTGCTTTTTGTGCTTTATTCTCCCCTAATAGACTATAGGTTACTGCTATTTATTAGTATTAGTATGATGTTGTGGAATATGTATTTTGTTTTTGTTGTTTCATACATTTAGTCCTAATATGTAAGTCACCTAGAAATTTCTTGTGGCAGGGATGGCTTATGTTAGATATTTACATAGTCACCTTTAATTGGTTGGTCTGCAGTGGCAGGAAATTAAAGAGCCTTCACTGGTTGTAGCCACGAGCAGCTCTACTGTAAAAGGAGCTGCCGCAGCTGCCGTGGTTGTTCTGAATAATGTAATAAAGAAGCTAAGCAATTGGAGCCTCCCACGTTATCTGTCACCCACAACATAACACTGGCAATGATGATGGGATACTGAGAGAAGCGGGACCACAAACACGTGGCTAACCAACCAGACAAAGAACTCAACATGGCCAGAAACAATACGCCACCCGCACCATTTGTTCTGATGACCGAGGACTGGGAATCCTATGTCGACCGATTCCAGATGTTCCTGGAAAGCAGCGACCTGATGAACATTACAGAACAGAGGAAAGGAGCTGTCTTCCTCAAGCACTGCAGCCCTGCCATTTTCAAAATGGCTAAAGCTCTCGCAGCCCCAAGTGATGTAAAAACGATGGCCTGGCCAGACTTAGAGAGAATTCTGAGGGCCCATTACACACCACCAGTATCCAGTCTAATCAAGAGACATGAGTTGGAGAGACCAGAAGGACAGAGAGAGCATGAGCAATTTTGTTGTGAGCCTGAGGGACCTTGCCAGGGCATGTGAATTCCTGAAGGTGGACAAGGCGATGAGGGACCTGACACTACAGAGCCACCTCCTAACAAAGCCTAAAATAACATTAAAGGAGGCCATTGAAGAAGCATCAGCTGTAGAAGCATCCCAGAAGTTTGCTGCAGCCATGAGGAAGATGAATAAGACTCCGCAGCCCCCCCCCCCAGAAAGACGCTGCCTCCATTTACCATGAGGACCTCGAGTCCGAGTTGGGATCGGCCAATGACGAGGAAGTGAACCAACTACATCCAGAAAGGCACCAAAAAAGCCAAGAAAAGAAGCTGAAGGAATTTTGGTGTGTGGGCTGTGAGGGGAATCACCTCCAATTGGAATGCCATTTCTGTG